GCCATCAATTTACAATGAAGTTGTAAATTGCTTTAATAGCCACCAGAACATCAATCTGCCATGTGCATATAGTAGGCTGATTCTAACAAAAAGTGCGAAGAGGATCTATTATCCATGTGCAGGTTTCTGAGTCCAGAAAATGCAGACTTTTACAGATCTCTAAAGTCTGATAATGAAAGTAATACAGTCAACTCTAAAGTCTGATAATGAAAGTAATACAGTCAAAACAATACAGTCAAAACTTAATATGAATCACTAGGAGAACAGTAGTTAGTTCACTTTATTGAAAATTCATATTAACAAATTTCAGGGTCAAGACCAAAGTTGTGTAATTTAGGAAGTAAGGCTTAACAGACAATCAAAATCTCTAAAATATAANTCTGAAAATTACCTTGGTGATATGGGTTGAGAATATGTCCAATGACCCTACTCTCACTAGAATAAGATGCTTTCATGATGCATGAGATGCATTTTACTTACTGCCATCAATGAGAAGTCATGCACACAATGAAATTGTAAATTGCTTTAATAGCCACCAGAATCTGCCATGTGCATACAGTAGGCTGCTTCTAACAAAAAGTGCCAAAAGGATCTACTATTCATGTGCAGGTTTCTGAGTCCAGAAAATGCAAACTTTTACAGATCTCTAAAGTCTGATAATGATAGTAATACAGTCAACTCATGCTAATATGAATCACTAGGAGAACAGTAGTTAGTTCACTTTATTGAAAATTCATATTAACAAATTTCAGGGTCAAGACCAAAGTTGTATAATTTAGGGAGTAAGGCTTAACAGACAATCAAAATCTCTAAAATATAATACAGTACTTTGAATTAATTTACTAAATAAAGTTAAATAAAATTGAATTTATTAACAAAAAAAAAAGTTCTAACTGATTTGCAAATCAAATAAAATGAGGAGGAGACAATATTTGCCATTTAAGTGTGGAGTAGTATATCAGAATGGTTAAACAAAACAAAGCTAAAAGAAATTCATAAATTTTTCATGTTGAAGTTTATTTTAAAAAGTGGAATATATTTTTTTTACCAAAAGAGTAAAAAATTAAATTTGGTGCACAGTAGCAGAGTCTGGCATCACTGTATGCACTCCCTGATATGCAAACTAGCATGTGTTTGCATATCGTTATAAATGCAGGCCAGATGGCAACTGTAATATTCCTCCTAAAATGGGAACAATTAGTACTGACCAAGTGCAATCTTTCATCACTCTGACTAGACGAAAGAAAAGTCTGCCATGACAAACATCACCTCATGTATGAGGTGTCATATAATCTCTACTTTATCAACCTGAAAGTTTCCAATAAACTAATACATAATTGTTAATAACATAATTTTAAAAAATTTTAATCTTTAACAATTGCAACAAATAATTAATTTTCTTATTAAAAGTAGAAGAAATGTTTTAAGAACCAAAAATCATGATGAAATTTGCTCAATTCCAATTCTGATTCCCATAAAATGTCTAATTTTTCCAATTCCAATTAATCATTCCATCACTATAAATTGGAGAATGAGACAAGCCTTGGGCACACAACCCTGCACATCATCATTCATGATGATTTGAATATGAAAAATATGTGCACACATTGAGTTCCATGGGATTCCAAGCTGGTAACTGATGATAGTCATGATGTCACTGCCACACATCAGAAAAGAAATTCCAATCCATGCAATGGAAACATCCAGGAAGTCCCTGGCCCAGGAAATTTTACACTTCTCCATTTGCAGGAAAGCAGATCATCATATTCTTTTGGAACACTTCAGGCACATTACTAATGGACTGGCTTCTGCAAGGAACAATCATCAACAATAAGATGTACTGCAAGACACTTATGGTGCTTAGATGCAGGATTCAGCAATGATAAAAGGGGATGTAGTCATCAGGAGTTTTGCTCCAATATAACAATGCAAGACCCCAAACCATCAACAATATGACCACAAAGTTGGTATCACTAAGGTTCAATGTTGTGCCTCACTTAACATATTCACCAGACCTTGCTCCATCTGATTATTTGTGAATTTTCAACCTTCCTGTAAGATTGAAAATTCGCAAATAACGAGAACTGCAGGCAGCTGTCCATAACTGGTGCCGCATTACTTGCAAAGAATGATTCTGAAATACCATTATGAAATTGCCAGAGAGATGGCAATGGTGTATTGATGTTGGTGAGAATATATTGAGATCTCTAATGTGTTGAACTATGTTACATAAATAGAGTACAAAAAACTACTATTGTAAATCATTTCTGAACATTCATTACACATATTTATAAAATGGCTATAAACAGCCACAATTGATTATACTCCATATGCAATTTTAATACTTTAATATATCAATTTCTCTACATTTATATTTTATTTTGTACAAGCCATCTGCAATCAGTAGTTTTTATTAAGTTTCATTTGAGATTTAGAATTTGCTTAATGTAAATATTACACAGTTATTGTTATTGGTAATAAAATAATTCCACTGTAATATTTAGTTTATTAAGACAGAATCACTACATATTTAAAGATTGTAAATTAAATAATAAGAGTAGCAACATCTAAATTCAATATATTTTATTTATATAGAGCACCTCACAATTAATGATAGAATAAGCTGAAACATTTTATAAAACTTAATCATAATTATTGTGATTTAATATTTCATATTAATAATATTAAAAGAAAAACTATTAAAAACAGTCAACTTTTTATTCATTTCTGTATTAGTAATATTTCTTTACTGACGCAGCATTAATTTTTAAAACTTTATTCTAACAATTTTACTGAAAATTTTCACATAACATTTTATTTTTAATATGGCTGTACACCATATGTCTGTTTTTGTCTTTTTGTTCTTCCTACATTTTCCCCCTGTTTCTTTCTTCTTTTTACCTTCTAGATCTTTTTAATCTTCTTAATTCTTCCTTCTTGGCAGTGAGAGCCACTTCCTGGAATAACCAGTATAATGAGTACAAGGTTACCTAAAAGCATACATGGGAAAGAAGGGTCACTTTTGAGCTGGTACTCAAAGAGAAAGGATGAACTGAGGACAGGTGTGTGAAATTTTGTCTGGTTCCTGAATACATGATTTCAAAGATTCCTTCAAAATTAAGATTTCACATCTTAACTTTGAAGGAACCTTTGAAATTCCTGCACTGAAGTTAGTGAGTGTTAAATTCAGTATCAACTTGACCAGTTGTGAGGTTTGAATAAGTGACCTCAAGAACTGAGGAGAAAAAGGAAACATTAATTTGCTGTAAGAAGTTCCACATGGCCCTCACAATGAGGGCTAAATGACATTCACAAGACGCAAGTAATCTTTGTTCTGTCCTATTCATCAACATAACTTCTTCTTGCCCATCTTCAATTTTCCATATTAGTGTAGTTTAGTATTAAGAGTTAGTTTTAGGAAAATTATCATTGTAGTAATTATTCTTGTTTATTGTATTGGATAACTAGCAGGTAGGCCCAGCATTGCTCGGGCAAAAGTAACAATAGCAAAGATTAAAATTATTACGTTATAGTCAACCTTACCCGTTTTCACAGAATGCAAGAATTATGTCCCCCTGTTTCCGGACTAATTAGAGAATTTTTAGATGGGTCTAAAAATATGTTCGATTTCCTGCAAAAATGAAAAGAACTGCATCTGTGTCTTGCACATCGCTTTCTCTTAATAATTCCATTGTTACTTAACACTTTCATTGTTACTTAACACTTTCATTGTTGATAAAAGTGTTAAGCCTTAATCCTGTCCCTCTCCCCCGTGGAGAGGAATTTCGAAAAATCCCTTCTTACTGTGCATTCTCGTAATGTACCCTAACTGTGTACAAATTTCAACTCCTAACCATTTGGGCTCTGCGCTTATTATTATTATCAACCCGTCTCGATTATATATATAGTCAGTTATCATAGTTTCGTGTGTTGTGACCATTTTTAATCCTGTAATTGTTTCACCAACAATCAGGTTTAGGATTACTACCAGAGTAACCATCCTAGAGTTAGCATCCTTTATTGAATCTGTACAAAGTTATATCACAATTAAATGAATTAATTTTCTAACATCTACTCTGTGTTTGCTGGGTGTTTACCTTAGTATGCTAACAAAAACTCTTTCATATATCTCACACAATTTTTCAAATTATATTTTTATAATGTTCATATCAAAGATATACAGTAGTTTATAAAAGTCTTACATATAAAATATTTTTAATCATAAAAGAGAATATTATTATTATATAAAATAATTTTTCTTTCTTTTACTGACAATTTTAAATTGTAATCACAAACTCATGTCTATGAAGCAACATACACCATATAGCTAGTCCTATAGGACTAGCTATATGGTGTAGCTATGAAGCAACATACACCATATAGCTAGTACTATAGGACTAGCTATATAGTGTATGTTGGGGCAGGTTATGAAAAGATTTTATCTTTGTTCTAGCAATTTTCTGCAGGATTACACTGCTATAAGTTATATACATAAAAATACAGTATAAAACTTTTTTAATCTGTAGATTTCTTAATCATTCTAATACATGTACTAACTATAATAACTATAAATGTTAAAAATGTTTTAAATAATAATTTTACCCATAATATTTGCTTTAATTATTATTATTATTATTATCAGGGCTGTCAAGAGATGGAGTTGTGGACCTTACTCAGATCTGCAAAAAATTTAGTGTCCATAGTTGTTTCTACTCCTATAAAATTAATGTTATTTTTACTAACAAAAAATAAAATTGTTAAGACTGCTTTTTACTAATAAACATTCTACATATTTCATTTGTTCAACAAAAAAGAAAAAACTAAAAAGGCCTGCTAAAAAGTAAAGGGCATCCATTCTACCCCAGGCCCCATACAAGCTCTTGACAGCTCTGATTATTATTATTATAATATTATTAAAAATTAATGCTGGTTAGCAGCTTTATTGTACATCAAAATTTGCACACACTATATTAATTAAAAATATTATTTAAAATACTTACTGCATTACTAGTATTAATATCAATACTGCCTTTCAAGTATTCCAATACTTTTTCCAAATTTCCTGCTCTGGCAGCACGAAGAAAGCTTGCATTTCCATCAGTCTAATATAAAAAAAAAAAAGTTTAATTTACTTAAAACTTTTGTAGTTTAAATGTAAATTATTTTAAATAATAATATTATTGTTAACAAAAATTTAATAATTATAATTTTAAAAATATTAATAAAATAAAATATTATATCACTTATATATTATTAAGAATAAAAATAAAATTGTGATATTACTTGGTGCAAATTATCCTGAAACAAAATTCAATAAAATAAAAGACAATAATAAAATTGAGAGGCTGAGAGCAATAATAGCATATTTCAATTATTAAATAAAATGAGATATTTAAGTAAAAGGAAATGTAACCATTTTGTAATATAATTAAAAAAATTATAACATTGTTGGGTTTTTCTCATTTTTTATTAATCCTTGAGTCTTGAAAAAAATTCTAATTGCAATGCAGTAAGAAAATAATGGTATACAAATCAAAATAATAATAAACATTTAATATTTTAATGATAAATCCATTCTGAAATACAAAATGCAACTACAATACCTTATTTTCTTCTTTATAAATGCATATTACAGAAAGTCCATCACAACATCATTGTTTTCATGCAGGACTTAAATACCAAAATTATAAGTCCATAATTGCATCAAATAAAATATGCATTCAGTTGATAAGATAGGAATAGGCAAAGCTTGCTGTAAGTCAACAGTTAGCAAAAAATTTCTTTCTTTTTTTTTTTTAGCTGCTGTTTTGCAGCATCAACTTTGCAAAGGTATAACTCTTGTATCCTCTCCTGTGGACTTTTTCACGTGTATTCATCACATTTCTTGCAAGTGTTGGACAAGAACAGCTTAAAGGAAATACTGAATTCAGGATTAAAACTATCTTGATAAAATATAATACTTTATTTTATCTTGATATATAAGTTTTAGAGGAGTAAGGCCTTTAGCAGTGAACTGATTCCTTTAGGGCTCTTACATTTTTTCTATGGATGGTTGGTTGGTTGGTTTTTGTTTTTTGGCACAAGAGCCATATATGGATGATACTGAGGATATGTAAACTCTGTGTTTTGAGAACAAGAATAATATGACTGATGTTTTTGGGAAGGACTTGATATGTTCCCTTATGACATCTTTGCTATCAGCAGATATCTTGTTTGGTCTGTTTGAATGTGCCATCCTCATAAGTTCCTAGTTTGGATTTTTTTTCTGACTTCTCTGAGTGGTCAGATTGCACAAAGTGTTCTCCTCTAGCAGTTCTTATCCTTCTCATTGATATGGAAAACACAGTCCTAAGGCCGTTTATCACACAGGAATTCATTTATCTCCGACCATAACAGAGTATCTGTAGTTTTATCATCACCTTGTCTTGTCAGCAATATTGCAGTCATTTTTTTTATAAACTCTTCTCCTTTCACTTTTTTCAATCAAACCAGAAAGAAATGAATTTTGAACAGAATAATTTTCCATAGCATAAAATTCAATAAACATGTTTTATTTTCAGCAGAACCTATGGTTTTGAAGGAGCATGCTGATTCAGAGAATTTGCAACATTGTTCTATGTTATGTACTTTTTTCTGGCACAGTCTTTCCATTTCCAGTTATTCTAAGTTCTTTTGTTATATTTCTAGTCCAACCATTAACATTTCTGTTTTGCTTTATTGAATTATTTTGCTGATTTTTTTCAGGAAATCTTTGGAAACATCTTTACTCCTGGGTGCTGCCATGATGAATAATATAGCTCTGCCAAACAGAAAGGCAATTATTGGGATATGTCATTGTTGCACAGATTTAATCCACAAAGCAATATGGGCAGCAGTAATATACATTACATTCTTGATGTTTGTGGATATCAGTGTTTGGGAATTCAATCATTCATAATCAGAAACATATGCAACAAAATTTCAACTTTTGTGAAAGATTCTGACCATTTGGAAAATGGGAGATTACTTACTACTGTATACTGGAGTTAGCACCTAAACAAACTGGATGTTTGAGAAGGTGTAATGCTAAGAGATCACTGCACTCACTCATTTGTATGGTTCTGTCATAAGTTATATTACTGTTTTGTTTATTCATTTTTGTTTGGCTTAAATAAAATGACAGCACACTCACTACACAGTATATTTATTTAATTAAACTATTCATTTTTCTAAAAAGTTTTGAAAACAGCAATAATGCATAAAGTCTTGCAGCAAATTACAAATTTAACATCAAAAATGGGATTCAAAGTTTGAGAATTTGATGTTCACGAAGGATTACTCAGTCCCAATTATTTACCAACACGAAGGATCAGTGTAATATCAATATTACCGCATGAGTAATTGCAATCAATGTAAATAGTTACTACATAACTACAGTTTAACCCGATTATAACAACATCGGATGTAACGACAACCCTAATATAATGTCAAATTTTTATCGGTCCCACGATTTTACTATACTAGATAATGTTAAAAAACCCACTTGTAACGACATGAAACCCTATTTTAATGTCATATTTGAAGCACTTTTAAATTTACGAAATTAAATTATAAATTTTATTTATCAAAGAAAATACTGTGTTCAGTCCTAGGGTCAGAGTCTGCTTCCTAGAACGATTGTGGGTGGTACTGTCACCACCTGATTCAATGGGGTGAGATGCACCACCCCTTTAAACGACATGACAGTGGGTTAGTCTGCATAGCTCTCATACTCGTGTTGTAGTTTAGAATCAAATCAGGTAAAATGGCTAGCTTAAAAAGGAAAGCGTTAACATTAGACTGCAAAGTAGAAATAATTAAAGCAGTTGAAAGTGGAAGAAAAAAGATTATGCAGAGACTTTGGTTTAGCAAATTCTACAGGTCTCGTAAAACTTCATCGGAAATAATGAACAAAATCTACGACTTAGAAAATGACATTGATAAACAATTTTTAGGTGAAAAATGCCTACAATCTAAAATAACTGACTTTTTTAAGTGAATATTTTTATTGTTTCTTTTTAATTGATATACATTAATTTAACCTAGAACCTATTAAAAATTAGATGAATTTTATAATAGATTCTTAAATAGGCTTGATACTTTTATGGGACTGAAATTATGACCTCGCAGATAATGACACTCGGTTATAACGTCAAAAAATTGCCGGTCCCATGGATGACGTTATAAGCAGGTTAAACTGTATTTACATTGATACTACTAACATACCACCATAATCTTTCTGTATATACCACCATCAGTCTTTACAATGTAAAGACTGATGGTGGTATATACAGAAAGATTAAATTTGAACGTTTTGTGTAGATGTCTTCATTGTATTCAGTCCCTCAAAAAGTCCTACATAAAATTTTTCATGAACTTTTCAATGGAACTAAGCCAAAATCATAAGTCACATCACTATGAAGATGGAAAATTTAAAATAAAGTTTGTAAAAGTCATCTTACAATGAGATCTAATAATAATTATTTTTGATACTATATATATACTGTATATATAGTAATCCATATTAGCATCAAAACAAGCTTATAATTAGATAAGCTATACTACATAAATCAGATTAGTAAATTCTCATTAACATCAATTTCTGCAAAACTGCCTGTAAAGGTTGATGTTAACCAATAATTGGCCTTAACAAGAACTATGAAATTTTAACTTGTAAGATATTTTCACTTGCTAACAATGGTTCCCAACCTTTTAAGACTTACAGCACCCTTAAACGAACATGCAAAATTTTGCAGCACACTTTAATTACCACACTGACCAACAGGTCAATCACATTGCTTTCTCTAATACTTTTTCTATGACTATAGAACAAAACTTCTGAAATATAGTTAATAAGATGTAGAATTAAATTTTTTATTATTATTTTCACAAAATTAAAAACTTGTTGCTGTTTTATTCACCTTATGACAAACTTAGAATGGCTTCAGGGCATACTGATCTATAGATATGGTAATATCTCATTACAAATAAGATTGCTATTGTTTTCAAATAAATTTATTATTATATGTTATTTAAAGAATTGCAAAAAAAAATGCCAAAGTAATCATCAGATATGTGTAAAAAGAAAGAGTACAAAAAGGTACAAAAAGTTATTTTAAAAATCAATTTAAAATATTGGAATACAGTATTTTCTTTGATTTTGTATTGACAAAACCAAAATTTGTATTATATTGACAATTTTTTGGATTAATTTATCAATGTAAGTATAAGTGTATTCAGAAATTTCTTAAGTTTGAATAAACTGATATAGTCAACAGCAAGAAAAGCATCTTTTGAATAGGAGCTGTTGTATCATTAATTTCACCATTACTTTCTTGATCCTCATTAGTTGTGCATATTTATTTTATTATACAACTTAAATAAATGTACAATAAAAGAACACTGAGTTCATTCATATAATATGCTCATTGCCAGATTAAACTTTTTAAAGATTCTGAAAAGACAGTCAAAACTCCTGAAAAGATCCTAAACTTTTGAAATAAATAAAATTATATGAAATAATAAATAATGTCAAACATAATTAAAACTTTTTTGGAAATTTTTATCACATTTTTAAATTAGATAAATTGTAAATTACTAAAAGGCAAACAATAAAAAA